TAAGTTATAAAAAGGGGGGAAGAAAGGCTTAAGTTAAAGTTATTTATTCAGTTGAAAAAAGACGAAAAATACTTGATTTACTTGTAGATTTGTGTTGCCCGTCAGTAAATTTCCGTTTGGGTAGGGTCACATTTGGGATCTTAGTTTATTTATTTAAGGATGGGTCAGTGTGTTAGTAAAACAGGGATCCCTTTCAAAGGAAAAAAGAAGATAAAGAGTATTCCATTAGATAGTCCACTTGGACAGTTATTAGACCATTGGGATTCTCAAGAAGCCACTAAAACCCTTGACCAAGTTAGAATGATTTATTATTGTACAGAGATTTGGCCAAAGTTGAAATTACAAGGAAGGCGGCCGTGGTATGGAACTCATGATCCAGGGATGTGTTCGCAACTAAACCAGTTTTTGCGACCTCAGGAGAATCCCAATATAGAACAATTAACATACGCCGCCTGTTGGCAGGGAGGGGTTGTGAGTGAAGGGAGCGTGAAGATCTGTACATTAAAGAAAAAAGAAGAAAATAAGGAGGAAAGTGAGGGGGAACAAAGAGTCACTAAGACCTGGGATCCCCTAGATCACCTACCATCTCCTCCTCCAGTCCTAAACCCCAATTCCATACCTGCTCCTCCAACAGTAATTCCACTTCCACCTCTGATGGAGAAGGAAGACTCGCTCACCATATGATGATTGACAAGTCTCGTCTTTATTCCTGAATCGCCAATTATTATACACCTTTTAATTAGCTCATGCATAGTGCAAAATCCCAGCTCACCATTGGTTAACTAGCTATCAGCTATCTACGTGCTGTTTTTGGTATAACTATCATCATTTTCCCAGGCTATTTTGCTCCACCACCTGCTCGGTGCATTACTTCATCCGTGGGCCAAGGACACAGTTTAATTGGAATGGCAACTCCCCTCATTCTCTATCTTGGTCAAATTAATCTCACTGTGACCTTTAGCTCGGAGCCAGCTTGTTACAAAGCTCTCAACATTTGGTCAGCACAAACTGGCTCCTTTTGTGAAGTAGTTATAAATAAGATTAATCAGTCTTTATTAGGTCGGTGTTAAGTTCAGTCTATTTAAAAGTTCCTGATTTGTCAGATCATGTTGCTGTCCATAGTTCTCTTACAACTTAAGTAAAGTAGGATGTAGATACACTTGTGTGCAGTGCCTCCAACAGCAGTTCCATCTGTGCTTGCTCGGATGATGCAAACCTCAGACTGTAACTGCAGCATTAAAGGTTACCTTCCTCAGTATCCACACCTGCTTCCTGAGTTCTGTGCACTAGAACAGCACACTGCAGGGATGTAGAGGTGAAGCATAGAAGCAATGACACTCCATCCAGCAATTTCCAGAGTATTTGAACATCATTTCCTATTCCTCTTTTGTCAAGGTCTGGTTTGATTTATATGCCCACTACTCAACACCCAAGGGATTACAGCCCAGAGTGGAGCAAAAGGCTCTCTGGTGGCAAATACAGAGGTCTGTCCAGTTCTGCCCTTGACTGTTCACTATGGAATAATTTTTTCAATATTAACTTTAATAGGTCACTTCTTTGTACCACTGTCCAAGTTTGGGGAGGAGTTTCCACTGGTCCTTTGAGTTGAGAGGTGTGAGACCGACCACTCCTTTTCTGCAGTCCTGGTAACTGTTCCAGTTGTTAAAAGTACCTGAAAGGGACCTTCCCATGCTGCTGTTTAAGGTATGATTTTTCCAAGATTTTATTCAAACCAAATCTCCTGGTTTTACCTGGTGTATGTGAAAGTCTAGAGGTGATGTTTGGGGTAACAAGTTTTTCTGCTAAGATCCATGAGAATAAGTGTAATTGCTTGCAAATAATTTCTGAGATGTAAGTCATTAGTTTCAGCCATTGGCAAGCCCTCCTCCCTTCCCAGACAAGGTAATTTAAGTAACATTTCATAGTGAGAAACTCCTATAACCTTTCTTGGAGCAGTTCTGATCCGTAATAATGTTAATCTGCTTTCAATCATTAATTTAGTAATATGGTTCTTAAGGATAGCATTCATTCTTTCCACATATCCAGAGCTTTGAGGGTGCCACAGATATGGAATTTCCAATTTATGTCCAATACACAGAATGTAAAATTTTTGAAGTAAAGTGTGTCCCCTTATCTGACTCCACTCTTTCAATTATCCCATATCTGGGAATGAGTTGTTCTAACAGCATCTTAGCCGCTTTGGAGGTAGTTGCAGTTGAGATAGGAAAGGCTTCTACCCAGTTGGTGATCAACTGTTCCAAGAAGAGATTTCCATCTCTGGATTTTGGGGAACTCGGTGTAATCTATTTGCATATTTTGAAAGGGTCTAAGGGCTAGGGCTCTTCCCTCACTAGGGTGTTTTCTCATCACTTATTTATCTTTTAACGACTCAAACATTGTCCAGTCACTATTTGGCTACTGTATCGACTCCCTCACAGCAGTAAGTTCTTCAGAATTGATCACACAGTCAATGTGATCAATGTGTCAGAGCTCGGTCCTTAAGCTCTCCAGTGTATTCCTTGGTATAGCTTAATTAAAATTTCTCTAGCAATTGCTTTATTCATTATTTGCCTCCCTTTACTACCTGGCTGTGATCGGAACTACACCAAAGAGAAAGTGCCTGGAGCCGAGGGAGGGCTGTGGTTGGGTATCTGGTTCTTATTGATGTTGCTGCCAGTGTTATTGTTTGTTTGCCTTGTTATACATACTGGCAAAGAACTGTTACACCTTTTCCCATATTGTTGCCTGAAAGCCCCTTAATTTCAAAGTTACAGTAATTTGGAGGGAAGGGGGTCACATTCTCCATTCCAGAGAGGCCCTGCGTTTCAAACCAACACAAATCAACCTGTGTTTCAAATCAACACAAGCCGAAGATTAACAATTTATTAACAATTGTTTATTAACAATTGTCAATTAATTGATAATTTTGAGTTGATTATCAGTCTCATAAACAGTTAATTAATGTCAGTAATGAAAAGGTAAGCTAGAGATGTTCACTGAAGCTTGGAAGGGTAGCTGCAGAGGTCTCTGGTCAAGGGTGGGAGACCGTCACCAGCAGAAAGCATGATGTTGCCGGCTCCTGCAGGAGGCTCCAGCTGACACAAACACTGTCCCTTGGATGCTGGTTTCCAGAGCACCTGCTTCTCGGGTCCCTCGCCTTCCTCTGTCTGCTGTAATGCAGACCGTCTCTGTTTATCAAGACTCTTCCGCTCCTGGGCTCTGCCTTTCACAATCACCTGCCCTGTCTTGTGAGCCAGCTCCAGGTTAGGAATCCTAGGAAGAAAGGGACTGGTATTAGTCAGACGAACATTCCCAGCCAGTTGTTTTGCAACTTGCAGAGCAAGTTGGACAGTGTTTCATCCTCTCTCTGTGCAAGCGGCGAGCAGCAAATTAAACAACTGCGCTCACTGCACAGAGGCTGCAGAGGTGCAAGGGCAGGAACATGACCAGTTAAATGCCTGGGGACCAACTACAGCACACGGGGTTCCATGTAGAGAAGCAGGCCCCTGATTTCACAACCCTCCAGGAGCTTGATGTTTCACACAGTGTCTTTTCCCAGTGTCTCCCTACCAAGGCCAGATGATGATCTTTCTGTGCTCCCGCGGGTGTTTCTGCTGCCTCTCTGGGGCTGCCTGACTCCAGGCCCACCTCCCCATGCCAGTCAGAGTTGGACAGTGTTTCATCCTCTCTCTGTGCAAGCGGCGAGCAGCAAATTAAACAACTGCGCTCACTGCACAGAGGCTGCAGAGGTGCAAGGGCAGGAACATGACCAGTTAAATGCCTGGGGACCAACTACAGCACACGGGGTTCCATGTAGAGAAGCAGGCCTTGTTTGTCCCAAAAGGAAGCAGAGCTAGGGACTGGCAGGTTCCTGATTTCACAACCCTCCAGGAGCTTGATGTTTCACACAGTGTCTTTCCCCAGTGTCTCCCTACCAAGGCCAGATGATGATCTTTCTGTGCTCCCGCGGGTGTTTCTGCTGCCTCTCTGGGGCTGCCTGACTCCAGGCCCACCTCCCCATGCCAGTCAGAGGGACTGAAGGGAGGGTGTTAGGGGGTGAACCAGGCTGTGCTTGGTGATGCCCAGCAATAGGACAAGAGGCAATGGGCAGAACCTGAACTGGAAATTCCACCTGAACCTGAGGAAGGACTTATTTCCTGTGCAGGTGCTAGGTTGCCCAGAGAGGGTGTGGAGTGTCCCTCACTGGAATTATTCCACAGCCCTCTGGACAAAACGCTGTGCCATGTGCTCTGGGATGACCCTGCTTGAGCAGGGAAGTGGGACCAGATGACCTACTGTGATCCCTTCCACCCTGTCCCACCCTGTGATCACCCAGTGATACCCATCAGAAGCATGAGTTGGCAAGTGCTCGATGTTTCCCACCTGCACAGCAGGGTGGTCTCAAACTTCCCCGCGCACTTTGGGGAGAACCGCACGTGAAAGGTCTGCTTCTGGCCAGGAGCAAGGATGCCGTGGTAGGGCTTGATGGAGAACAGTGGCAGGTCACGGACGACATCTGGGAAGATTTCCAGGCAGGAACCAACACTCTTTGAACGGCATAGCTTCTTGGAATGGTCCTGCTGCTCGGGCTGCTGCTGCTGCTTGGCAAGCTGCTGCAGCTGCCCCAGCTTTCCTGCTTGGCCTTGCATGCACATCAGTGGGCCTGTGCTGGTTTGGGCTGGGGCAGAGTTCTGGGAAGCAGGCACTGGGCCAGCCCTGGGCAAATGCAGCTCCCCCTCACAGTGATAGTATGGAGATAAAATGTTTCTAAAATCATGGGATATTCAGGGGAGTTGGAAAGAAAAATTGGGCCTGGTAGGCCCTGAGAAAATGTTAACCTTTACTGGATCATGCAAAACTACACCTGTATAATAATTTAATGACAATAGTAAATGATTGTTATATGAGAAATGATATGATTGTTAAATGTGATGATTGTTTGGTAATTAGATATAATTATTGTTTAATTGTAACAAGAATAATGAGAAACGATGTTTGGGGGTTTTGATAGAAATTACAAGAATCCATGCTTAGATGAAATCAATGTATACAATAGAACAATGTAAGTTTCATAATTAATATGTATTATATAACGATAAGGGTATAAAAACATGTTCATCCCGAACCCATGTTGGAGTCAGATTTGGGTTTGTACCCCTAAAACCCAGAGCTCTTCTATAGAAGCACCTGCATATAATCATTCCGTGATTATGTGTTTCACAACGCTAACAACAGGGCCCTGCCTGGCCTTCAGCACTCACCTGGCTGTCCTTGTCTGGAAGGGCAAGGTATCCTCAAGCTGAACCACAATCGTGTTCCGATTGAACTGGGTGTAGCCAACAACAGCACTGAGGTAGACCTCGACCTCCTGGCTGCTCTTCTCCACCACACTGTGAGCCGGTTCCGGGACTGGCTCAATCACCTGCAAACAGAGGGAGGAATCACTCAGCAGAGGCCAGAAGGTCAGGCTGAGAAGGGCAATCTTCTGGCATCCAAGAGCAGCCTTATAGAGGGACTAGAAAGGACCATTCACTTTTACTTCCCTGGAAAGATGACACAATTGGGACTGTTCTGCTACAGTAGTTGTTTCTACCCACTGATCAATGCAGTCACTACCACAGCTGTTAATAAATATCCCCATGAAGACTGTAGCTGTGTTCCAGTCCCTGTACTTCAACCTTGTGGAGGGACTGGCTTTTTTCCTGTCCTCTATAAATCCAGCAGGTCTCAAAGTTAGGGTTAAGTTCCCCTGCTGGAGCTCTGTGGATGGAGAATGGCAAGAGTGAAGAGTTCTAGAAAGCAGCTTTTTCTTCTTCTCTTAGGAGAAAGTGCTCTCCAGATGTCTTGTGTGGCACAAGCACAGTGCTGGGAGCTGAGGATGGGCATTTTGGGATGTGAAAGATCTCACTAGGTTCAAGGTCACTGTGATACTCTTGGCACAGCCAGGGTGGAGGTGTCCCACCTAGGCAGAATCAGGGAGGGAGTCAAGACCAAACTAGAAGCAATGCCAAGGGCAGGACTGACAGCAAAAGAGACTAATGTGGTGAACAGCTGTGCCAGGAATCCGCACCTCAGAGTGGATTTATATGAAGTTTGACAGAAAAAAATGTGAACAGAAGGTGCCACCTCCCATAACATTAAGCCTTTTCTTCTTTCTGGGCAGCCAAGCCAAGCCCAGCCAAGCCAGGGACTGCATCTCCTTCATGGCACTGGAAGGGACTATCACTGGCATGTGAGGACTCCTGGCCCTGTGGATGACAGCCTGGTCAGAGAGTGAGAAACAACATGCGTTTCTCACAGCGGCTTGTGAGACCTTTTAGGGAGTTGTAGAAATTATGATAACTTGTTAGTATAAACAACCTGCAGGTGGTGCTTTTCTACTCTTTTTCTGTTCTTCTCAAGTACTGTTTGTGAGAAAGGTGTTTTTGGTAATTAGCCAATCAAGTAGAATGTGTCAAACCATCTATAAAAAGAGAGAGAGCTTCTTGTATTAAACTTCTGCAATTCAGTCCCCTGGTGAGTTTGCGTCATTTCGGGCTCAACGGTGACTCTTCCTATGTCTGCCTTGTTTTTTGGGACCCTTCCCCTGTGCCACAAGCCTTTGTTCCCAAACCAGACCATTCCTTGAGCAGGCATGTCTGCCTTGCTGTTTGGGACCCTTCCCCTGTGCCACAAGCCTTTGTTCCCAAACCAGACCATTCCTTGAGCAGGTCCTCCTCACCTTGACGGGTACGATGCCGTCGTTATGGATGTCCAGGGGGAGCATCTCTGAATCCCCCACCCGGAGCCTCTTGAAGCGCAGCACGGCCGTTCCCCTCTTGCTGCGAGCACTTGGGCGTACGACTGTCACTGGCAGCTTCTGCCCCTTCCCACTGATGGTGAAGGTCAGGATTTGGGGTTTAATTTCCACATAGCTGCAGGAGAGGCACAGAAACAATTTCAGCTGGCACTAACCCATTTCTCACTGGGTAAGCAAAGCACTGAGGGCCACCCACAGTGTTTTCCCTGCCTGGTGCTCCTGCACCCCACAACACAGCCCCCTCACCAGCCTCTTCCCAATCCACTCAGGGCCATTCACAAGAGGAACCTGCTCCAAAGAGCCAGAGCCTTCCACAATAACAGTTAAAAATAATTTCACTTAATTGAATCATGCAATACAGCAGGTAAATAATGAGGCACCAGATGAGATATGGCAGATCCCCTGGCTGCGGTGAGGTGAGACTTATGCAACAAACAAAAGCACAGCATGAAAGCAGTTCAAAAGCAAGAGGGCAAAAATAAATCATCGTCACCATCAGCAAAGATCATTTCCAAGAACAGTAAAAAAGCAATTGCTTATTAGCAATTAGACTTCTCTCGTTCCAATTCAGCCACTAAAGGGTTGAGGAAGGGCAGGTCAAAGCCCCAGTCCCAGGGCAGAGGAACTGGGCTCCTCTTTCATACCAGCTCAAATCACTCACATAAAAAAAGCTTAATGAATGCCAGGGAATCACAGAGGATCACTTAATTTTACAGAAACAAAGAGGAAAATGTGACTGTTGATTGCTGGCACAGAAACTGCTTTATCTAAACCTTTGTCCTTGGAAATGCCCAGCTGAGCTGCAGCACATCTCAGTAACTTCCAAATACCTACCTAGTATTTATTTCCCTGTATTCATAGTTCTTCATACAGAATAAACCATCAGCCTCATTTTTCTGCTCTAAGAGTTACTCCCAACTCATCTCATGCCAAGTACTCTGCCTAAGGCTACTGAAAGCATTAGAGCTAACAAGAGGTCTGTGCCTTCCCAGTGGAGAGGCAGCTATCAGTGTGGCCTCCCCCAATATTTCACATGGTCAGTTACCCTTTTGGGATGTCAAGGGAAGCCTTGAAGGTGCAGTCGTAGTTCTGCTCATCTGGTGGGGTGAAGGTCACTGTAGCAACGGCATAGGATGAGCCAGGAACTGACATCTTGACTGGATCCAACTTGAAAATGTTGTTGATAGGGATTTGTTCCTTGGGGGAACCCAGAGAGCAGTGTTAGGAGAAAACACCTTTCAAGATGACACAGCTTTATCATAAATGCATTACTGAGAACAGCCCCAGACAGTGTGTCTTCCTTCCTGCTTCCCTGGGCAGGCTCCCGTCCTCCCAGGGAATGCTCACCTTGTGCTAAAGCATTGGGTGTTTTGAATGCTGGAAGCTGCCCCAGCCTATATGGGAGGTGCATGGAAGACCCTGCAAATAACCTAGAGCTGGCCTTCAAAGAGAAGGAAAAGCCAGGGAGCCTGAGGAAATGCTCTGCTTTGAGCCCTGGCATGTCAGTTTATAACAGCCCCTCTCTGCGTGTGCTTCCAAGAGAGGTTCAGAAGGACTCACTTCTCCCACCAAAGACACACAGGTGTGAGCCAAAACCTGGCCCAAGACATGCAGAATTCCACACAACTGTTCCCTGGCTCTGCTGCTTTTCCCAGCAGTTTGACCTGCACTGAGCTAACCTAGTCTGGGCCACAGGCAGCAATGCATCTGGAGAACAAAACAGGCTCTCACATGGCCCTCAGAGGGCAGCCACCACCTTGGCCTCCTGTTCTTACCTTTCCAGGCAGGGGTTTGATGGAGAGAACCACGTCACATGGCAGACTGCTTGCACTGTAGATACTGAAATGAGCTTCAGCCTCTTGCCCAACCAGAACCTTGTTGAAGATGAATTTGTTCTCATCTCCGATGAACAGGCCCGTGCCTTTCACCGACTGCAGCTTGTGGCTGAGGTCGGTGCTGCTGCAGATCAAGTACTCCTTGAAGATCAACGTGATGTCCTCAACAAGTGCTGTGGACAGACCAGAGGGGTGAGCATGGAGAAGCCTCCCTGATGAGTTTGTCTGGACCCTGCTGGCCTCTCAGAAGGCTTGATAAGCCCTTTCTGCCCAGGTGACTGCTAAACCCAGCCTTGGGTGGGGGAGCTGGCTGGGAGGATGGAGCCCAGTCAGCCTCAGTCTTAGAGAGCATTGCTTTCCTTTTATCCTTCCACGCATCCCTCTCAGCCTTGCAGGGATGAGTCCACTGGTGGACTTAAAGAGGGCTGGAACCTCTGAGGATTTTAAGGTGGGACATCAGGGCGAGTGTGCCTCTCTATCCAAGCAGCAAGTTTAGGTGCTGATCAGCAGCAGGTGTGACCAAGGGCACGGTGGGCAGTATGTACCTGGGAGGCAGGACTCGGCAGTCAGGGTGAAGGGAATGCCGAGGGGATTGTCCTTGGGGTCTCTGCCCGTGATGTCAATGTAGAGCTGCTCCTCACATGTCCCCTCCTGCCCTGCGAGGCATTCCACTGTGATCATCTGCTGGCCCCAGGGACCGATGGAGCCGGAGCAGGGGGACACCGTGAACATGCCAAGACTGAGGTGACTCTGCAGAAAAAGGTCCAGGAGAGGCTGATGGCTAACAGCTGTGCCTTGAGCACCCCAGCAAAGAGTATGTCCTGCCTGGCCCAAGCACCCAGTCCCAGGGCAGGATGGATGACTCCACAGCTCAAAGGCAGCCCCAGGCTGAGAACAACAAACTCAGGAGGAGCTGCAAGCCTGTCCCAAGTGGCAGAAAGGAGTTTGAGTGTAAAGAATGAAGGTGGTAGCTGTGATCCTTCAACCTCCAGAGGTAACACAGGAGGGCAGAAATAGCTGTGAGAAATCATGGGAGAGAGGTAGGGGACTGGGAAGAAGAAAAAGCACTGTTGTCTGAACTCTGTGGACTGGGAGTTCAGTGGGGGACGGTTTTGCTCCTGAGGTGTTCACAGACCTATACTGGCTAGCAGCTACCAAACACAGGACCTGCTCCCCTCTGTTGACCCCACAACTCCAGGTCAGAGCCAGAGTACAGGACGCTCAGTGGGACTGAGCAGATACTGGACTCCATCCTGTGAACCTCGTGCCACCCTGTGGCGGATGAGCCTCAGCCTGGGCACAGCAGCATCTTCTCACATCCCCTGCAGCAGCACTGCTAGGGAGCAGGAGTCACCCACCTGTGTCGAGGAGCTCAATTTCCTTTCTGTTGAGTCCTTTGTAGCTGATGGAGCAGATTCATTTTGCTTTGAACTGAGGGGAGAAAGCAGAGGTATCTGTCATGCTGAGCTCCCCTGCCTTTCTCTGAGGCCAAAGCTGGCCTTCCTCCTCTGAGAGGAAAGCCTTTCTGCTCCTGATGGCTCCCAGAGAGCAGCCAGTGGCTCCCATTGCTGGACTGAGCAGCTCTATCACCAGCTTTGTACTACACGTGGGGATACTGAGGTGTGTTTTTTTGCTCCCTCTCCCCAAGCCAGGGAAGCAAATGGATGACAGCTCAGGTCTCCTGGCTGCCTGCCACATACCAGCCGTGGGGTGGTGCCTCCTCAGACAGGAAGGGTTGTCAGGGCTTCTTGTACCTTTTGCTTTCCAATGCAGATGCATCCTCGGGTGCTTGGCAGATGTGGAATTTGAAGCTGAGCATGCCTTTGTTCTCCAGCACAACAGTCCGAGTCTCCTTGGTGCCCTTGATCATGGTACCGAAGTCGGCGGGTGAGGCAGGCACAATGCTGTACTTGCTGTACTCTGCTTTGGCCGACACCCTCAGCAGGATGCTGGTGACAGCCTGGCCTCCTTCACCTGAGCTGGGATCTATCACCTGTGTCCACAGGAAGGGTGGTAAACAATAAAGAGGCCAGCCTCTACTCCAGTCCCCAGCCTCCACCCCAGGCCTCCATCAGTTTATCCCTCCCTGTTTCAGCACCTCCTCCAGAGTCAGATTCTCAGCTCCACTTAGGAAGCCTCCCAAATGATGTTGAAAGACTTTGTTTGTGTACGTAGGAGAGAGGATTCTCCAGTAAAGCCCTCCTTCCATGAGACACCTATCCTGTTTATGCTCCCAAAACATGCAGCCTGGCCCAGGCAGCTCACCTGGCAGCACAGGATGGGTTTGTTCTTGAGGAGGATTTCACTTGTGGGGTGGAAGAGCATCCCAACATTCACACCAGGCTGGGAGGCAATTAGCACACCTGACTGAGGCTCAATAGTGAAGTAGGATGCCAAGTCTTGCATGCTGGGACCTGCACCCTTCAGCATGAAACTGGGGGGAAAGGGAAAGAATGGAGATCTCTGCAGTTAAGTGTATAGGTGCCACTAACACAGCCAGGACTTTGCATAGGACCAGGAAAAAAAAGCAAAAGGAGAGTCCTGATCTGCTTAGGGAATCCTGGATCTTGACAGAGAGTGAAGACAATCATAAGGTTACTGCAAGAAACCTTGAGACTGAAATTTTTCATTCACTCTTTTACAGAGTCTCAGAAAGAGAAAGGAGGTGACCACCAAAGAAAGGCAATGAATCTCAGCATTTCAGTGGCTGAAATTTCTGGGGCTCTCCTTTGGGGACCAGCTGAGCTGTGAAGAACTGCTGGTTTGCGGCTGGATTCTCTGGTAAAATAGTTGAGATCAGAGAGCCCAGGTTTTGTATTTCCCATAGGTAGCCAGCATGGAAACAGGCTCTAGCCATTGACAGAGGGAGAATGAAGGCCTGGGAACCCGAGGAAATGCTCACTACCAGGCCACTGGACTCACCTGTACTCAATGTCGTATACCCCTTTGTTCTTTAGACTCAGGACTTTCTTCACATTATTCAGGACATTAATGGTTCCAAATTCCAAGCTTCCATCTGGACCTGCAGAAAACCCAGAGCAAGGTCAAACATGGTATTTGTCAGCTGCTGCAGAATACACCAGGCAACATGGAGGTCTTGGTGCAAAACCATTTTCAGCAAGTTTCTGTTCTTGAAAATGTTTTCCAGCTACTTGTTTGCCCTTTCTCTTCTCACTTAAAATATCTGCAGGCTGAGTAGCTAAGGAGCTCAGCTCCCATTTCCTCATTTCCAAGCACAAATCCAATTACTTTATATATTGTGCTGAGCCTGGGGGGGGTGCCAACTGCCTGTTCACGTCACTGTTGTTTCAAAGCCCCAAATCAAAACTGCATGTGAAGCTGCACACATCAAAGTTAGAGGGGAGAGACTTAATGCTGTCAGTGCCCTGACAATGCTTTATTCCATGCAGCTTGCAGGGTACGTGCTTTATGTATCCATGCCATCCTTACATGCTGTCCCATCCCTTCCCATCCCATCCCATCCCCTCCCCTCCCCTCCCATCCCATCCCCTCCCCTCCCATCCCATCCCAAGGTGATGCAGTGCACCTGGCCTGCTTTGTTTGGGAGGCATCCACTGACCTTCAGGCATGTCGATGCTCAGAGAAACGTCATAGACCTCTGCAGAGATTTCAATGTTTTCAACCTGAACAATCCCCAGGATGTTTTCTGTATCTGAAACCTGAGGCAGCAAGAAGCAAACACTGTTCAGATTATTCTTTTGCTAGACAGCCTGAAAGTCCTTGTCTCTGCTGGCTGCTTCCCCTATGGCCTCCCTGGCTTCACAAGTGTTGGTGGATTCCCAAGCTTTGCTAACCTGTTCTCATGGGATGCCCCATGGGATTCTGCTGCAGTAAAAACCCTATCAGCCCAACTCTGTGCTCCTACAGCAGGGAAGGCTGCTGCTAAAGCATCCTTGAGAGGTACAGGGGTGTAAGAACAACCACAGGAAGTGTGAGGTGTCTCAGAGCAGGTGGCATTGACAACCCTCTCCAATCACTTAGCACCCTTTCTGAAATGCAGCCCCTAAACCATGGGGAACACCAATCTGCTCAGCCTTGAAATGCAGTGTCACTTCAAACTCTGAGTGGGGATCAATGGTGCCATTTTCTTGTGACAAGGAGAAGTCCTCAACAAGGTCATCCAGCCCATTGAGCTGCCAGGCCATGGGCAGCAGGGTGTTGTTTCTCAGGACCAAGGTCCTGCTGTCAGTCCTGCAGAGACAGGAAGGCACTTGGCATCAGCTGCTGGATGGTCACACCAGCCTCGCCACTTGGAGCAGCAACTTGGAGCAGCTCCATCCGTGCCCTGGAAACCAGAGCCAAATGTTTTCTCTTTGTCACAAGTCTAGGAGTGCTTTTGGGATGACTGACCTGTGCAGAAGCACCTTGTCAAAAGACAGCTCCCGGGGGCTGACCTCCAGCTTCATGGGCACCCCATGGCAGCACAGGCTGAAGACCACTGGGTCTGGGTTCTTCCCAATACAGCAGATGAGCTTGTCTTCCACGAAGCCAGGGGAAGTGGGGTATGCCCAAATGGTCAGCTCCTGGACACGGCCCAACAGGAAGAAATCAAAAGAGCTCTGTGTGTGAGCAGGAGGAGCAGCCCCTGGGCGCTTCTACAGCGCCTGCTCTACCTGTCCTTCTCCTACCTGCTTCTCCTTTGGTTTCAGTGTCATGCTTGGAGGGTCCAGAAGGAATGTCTCTGCTTCCCCAGCATTCTCAAAGGAGAACTGGATCTCTGCATCCACGGGGCAGTTGTTGAGGATGGTGATATTCTCTGAGTTGCCAGGACAGTTCTGGGCCTTGTACCTGTCCACAAAAGGGGAAGAGGCTGCAGAGGAGACTGTTGCCTTTGCCACACACTGAGGAGAGCACCCTGTGCACCTGAGCAAGCGGTGCTGGAAGGCTCTAACAAACAAGTGAGGGAAATGGATCCCAGTCAGAGGCATAGCAAGGGTCCTTGCCTTACTTTGATGCCTTCCCCTGGGTGAAGCTGAGATGTGGAGGAGGGGGACAGAAGTTGCCCCCAAGTCCAAGTGACCTTTGGACTGGCAGCAGCATGCGGCTCTGGCACCAAGGCACCCACTGGGTAGGCACAGCAGCTCCTCCAAGGCTCATTTGCCTCTTATCTGCTCAAGTTCACACCTATGGTCCTTCAAACCCATGTGTCTCCCAGGACTTTGCTGGGGACTGCCCTGGATTGTGCCACCAGGACAGCCTGTCTCTCCAGGCGTGTCCCGAAAAGTACAAGACCCAGCAGGGAGCACGTACCACTCTCTTGATTTCCCACACAGCAGTGGTCCAAAGTGGAATTGCTTTGTGCTCTCAACATATTCCTTGAAGATGACTTCATCTGCCTCCATGGTCTCCCTCCATTGTGGAAACACCAGCCTGGGCAGAGAAAGTGGGGAAGGATATGAGATGCTCCAAGTAGGAAATGCAGTCAGAAAGCCAAAACCCTTCCTGGTGGCTGAGGTACCATCTGCCTTCCAGCTCCCGGCACAGGAAGAGGTTGCCACAGAGGCATCTGCTGGGCGACCTCAGGCAGCACAATGTGCCCAGGCCAGAAGCCCCAAGGGGCAGCCCTGGCTGTGAGTTCAGGGGCAGCAGTGTGGGAGGCTGCCAAGGACCAGCCTTACCGTGGGTTCTGGCAGATGCTGGGGTACAGGCCGGTGCCACTGCAGGGCAGCTCGTACTGGCGCTTCGTCTGCACGAGCTCAAACCTCAGTGTCTGCTCAAACTTCCCTGGCTTTTTGGTGGAGAAGTGCACCTTCAGTTCCACCTCACCGTGGGCAGGCACTATCCACCGGTACCGTTTCAGCCTGGCAATTGAAGAGGAGGCTTCAGACATTGCTGAGGAGCAAATGAAACAAGGAGGGTGCACTCGCCATCCCCCAGCACTGGCACAGGGTCGCTGTGGAGCTGGGGACAATGGACCTTGTTTGGCAAGAGGACCAAGAAGCAGAGGCATCACCTCCTCCCGTGCAGCTCACCTGAGGAATTCTGTAGGGGTTGAGGCACTTTCCCGTGTACTTTTGGATCTTGTTGCAGAGGAATCCCGGGAACTTCCTGTTCTCTGTGTGGAGATCTGCTTCTCCTTTGCAGAGCTGTCTCTGCTGGCTGCTTTACCTGTCTGTGGTTGGCCCTTGGCAGAACTGCCCTTTGCATGTGGGACCTTGGCCTAAGGGGAGAGAGAAAAGGGAGGGAGAGGTAAGCCCTGAGACATCCCCATCCTGGAAAGTAAAATGGGGGTTTGTTCACCAGTGGAAGAGAGAATAAATAAATAAGTCCACCTGCCCATGAACTTGGTCTTCCTTATTGGTGTTTGTTTTGCCTAGGACACCCCTTCTCACTCAGGACTCTCTCCTCAAAGGAAGTTGATGGTTCTAAGTGATTTTTTTGCCTCTTGTCTTACAGAACTGCTCTGTCTCCAGCAGAGCTATCTCTTTTGCCCCATCCCTGACAGAAAGGAGACCTGCAGACATGGGGCCCCATCTCACCTTCACTACCTCTCCACAATGCTCCCTTTCCATCCAACCTGTCCCCCATGCCCCCATCTAGCCTGGTCCCTGTCCTGGCACCTTCAGTGCTGGCACCACTGGAGCACCCACCAGATTGTCTTCCACAGCAGCACCTTCAGGTGCCACAATGGTGAAGGGCTTCACACGCTTTGCAGAGCCCAACCTCTCCTCTGGGTACTCGACTATGGAGAGGACAGCAGCAGGGGGAAGGGGAGGGCCGTCGGGATACAGTCCCAGATGTTTCAGCATCTAAAACAGAAGAGAAAATCCTGCTTATACTTCTGAGACCTTCATCCTCACAACTCCTTCTTTAAAGGCACCGAGCTTTTGGCAGTGGGGTTTTTGACATATATGAAGTACAAGTGCTTTGTTATGCCCAGTGGGGTGAGCAGGCTCCAGAGCAGCTGCAAGAGCTACAAGCCAGACCAAGAGAGAAACCTCTCCTGAGTGACTCAGCTGAAGAAAACAATGACTGTGTGCTGCCCTATCCTGGGACCATTTATAACGATTTCCAGGCTGGGAGACTCTAAACAGATGGGATACTTGTACACAGAGCATTCCCACTTTCTGCCCATCTGAGGGATGGTGATAACCTCCCCATTCACATAGATGCTACAGAGTCATTGTGGAACATCATCAGGGGCCTGGACAAGGCTCTGTGCCATTATCACCTGGGGGGACACAGTGCTCCAGGGCCCATGACCACGGCAAGCTCAAGATCTGAGCCTTGCAGCGTGTTACCTGGTCTTCCGTTGGCAGTTTCCCACCCCTCAGGATCTCCTTAATCATGGCCTTCGGATCTGTGACCTGGATGTCCAGGCATGGCACCCCAACATTCTCGTCTCTGACTGCCCCTTCTGCAACTTTGCTTTGAGTCCCCAGCAGACGTAACTGAAGACTCCTTTGGCCTCCACGTTCGTGTTCAGGCTTCTCCTGAGGCTTACTGGTCTTCTGATCTTTGTTTTCCGCAGAAGGCTGGGACTTGTTTCCCTTTTGGATCACAGGTAACTGCACGGTACCCTGAACCCTGTCCCAGTAAGAGAAAATCTGTGTGATGTCCTGCTGCGATGACTCATAGTTCTGAAACCTCAGGATCAAGTTCTTCTCCATCTCAGCTGGTTTCTCTGGGATTTTGGCTTCCTCCTGCTCTGGGGCTTTTGTTTCCCCCTTCTCTGGGGCTTTGGTTTCCCTCTTCTCTGGACTTTTAGTTTCCCCTTTCTCTGGGGCGTTGGGTTCCCCCTTCTCTGGGGCTTTTGTTTCCCCCTTCTTCGGAGCTTTGGGTTCCCTCTTCTCTGGGGCTTTAGTTTCCCCCTTTTCTGTGATTTTAGTTTCCTCCTTCTTTGGGATTTTGGTTTCCTTCCTCTCTGAGGATCTGGTTTCCTTATTTTCTTGGGATTTGGTTTCCTTCTTCTCTGGCATTTTGCTTTCTTTCCTCTCTGGGGCTTTGGTTTCCTTCTTTTCTGAGGCCTTGGTTTTCCTCTTCTCTTGTTTTTCAGGCTGCTTTCCCAAGAAGACACCCTTCTTTTCCTTCTTCTGCTTCTCTTCCTCCTTCCGCCTCTCTTCCTCCTCTAAGGCTTTTGCCTTCTCCTCAAGCTTTTCAGAAAACTGCTTCAGCTCCCTTCAGCAAACAAAATAGAAATCATCGCTGAGAGTCACATCAGAAATTTGGGCTCACTAGTCCTGGCTGGCCCTCCACTTCATTCCTTGATCCTGAGGTCAGGCAGAATCATGAGACCATTTTTGTGGATTTTCCTCAACCCACAGAGGTCAAGAACATCCCAAGTGAGTGGTTGGGGCTTTGGTTGCCCTCTTCTCAGAGGCTTTGGTACCCCTCTTCTGTTGGGCTTTGGTTCCTCTCTTCTGTGGGGCTTTGGTGTCCCCCTTCTCTGTGGCACTGGGTGCCCTCTTCTCTGGGGCTTTGCTTTCCTTCCTCTCTGGGGCTTTGGTTTCCTTCTTCTCTGGGATTTTTGTTTCCTTCTTTTCTGGGGCTTTGATTTCCTTCTTCTCTGGAGCTTTTTTTTCTTTCTCTGGAGTTTTGGTTTCCTTCTTCAGAGCTTTGGTTTCCTTCCTCTCTGGGATTTTGGTTTCCTTCTTCTCTAGGGCTTGAGTTTCTTTCCTCTCTGGGATTTTTGTTTCCTGCTTTTCAGGGGTTTTGGTTTCCTTCCTCTCTAGGATTTTTGTTTCCTTCCTCTCTGGGGCTTTGGTTTCCTTCTTCTCTGGGATTTTTGTTTCCTTCTTTTCTGGGGCTTTGATTTCCTTCTTCTCTGGAGCTTTTTTTTCTTTCTCTGGAGTTTTGGTTTCCTTCTTCAGAGCTTTGGTTTCCTTCCTCTCTGGGATTTTGGTTTCCTTCTTCTCTAGGGCTTGAGTTTCTTTCCTCTCTGGGATTTTTGTTTCCTGCTTTTCAGGGGTTTTGGTTTCCTTCCTCTCTAGGATTTTTGTTTCCTTCCTCTCTGGGGCTTTGGTTTCCTTCTTCTCTGGGATTTTTGTTATCTTCTCTGGCATTTTTCTTTCCTTCCTCTCTGGGATTTTGATTTCCTTCTTCTCTAGGGCTTGGGTTTCTTTCCTCTGTGGGATTTTTGTTTCCTTCCTCTCTGGGGCTTGGGTTTCCTTCTTCTCTAGGGATTGAGTTTCTTTCCTCTGTGGGATTTTTGTTTCCTGCTTTTCTGGGGTTTTGGTTTCCTTCCTCTGTGGGATTTTTGATTCCTTCCTCTCTGGGGCTTTGGTTTCCTTCCTCTCTGGAGGCTTGGTTTGTCAGACTGTCATGAGACAGTCACAGGATATCGAGGACAAGTACAGTTTGGTGCAATTGTGAGCAAGGGTGAGTGCAAGAGAGATTCACTTTAGATGTAATGTATATATAGTATAGAATAATAAAGTAATTATTTAGCCTTCTGATAAGACGGAATCCTCATTGTCATTTTCTCTCCCTCACACATCTCTCAGTCGCCCGTGCAGTACTAGGGATACCCTCCAGGGACAATACCCTGAGCAGTAACCCATGGAAGGCTTACTCACCCCTCCGTCTGTATACTCTTCCTTTCCAGTAATATTTTATCCACTTCTGCTTTCTTCTCCTCAGGGAGAGCATCATACTTGTCCTCATCCTTTTGCAAGACATTCTCCGTGTTCCTCTGCATAGCTTTTCCCTGCTGCAGTTCTTTGGCACGAACCAGAGGAGAAATAATGAGTGACTGCAAGCAGAGCTGGGTGCTCTGGGTCAGCTGCAAGGATTCACAGCTTTTCCTGACCCAGTCTATCATCCCAGGAGTTACTGGGGTGCTCATATCCCTGCTCCAAAATTCAGACAATCCCCCCAAACTGTGGCTGGGCAGTGAGGTCCTGTGCTTTGCCTGGCTTAAGTGCACCAAGCCTGAGGACAGTCGTTTGTCACTGAGTTACAGCAGCTGGCACTTGTGCCCAAGATTTAATGTTAGAGATTAAGGTGAGTCTTAAAACCTCAGATCTCCTGCAACTCTGAGATGAGTGCTGGTTACACTGAGGCAGAAGGTGGAAAGATTAATAAAAACATTTCTTACAATCTCTGCTCCAAACCCAGATACACAGAGATAAGGCTGAGGGCTTGAGAGAGAAGATTTGAGAGGGATGCAGATATCTCACCTTCCTTCTCTCTTTCAGCTTCCTTCCTCTTTCTTTCAGCTTCACCCCTGGCTTTCCAAGAAGCATAATCCTCATACAGGTTCACCATGTAGATATGATGACAATTCTTGACAGCTTTGAGTATGCAGAGCAGAGAAGATTCCAGGCTGCCTGCAAAGAGGCTCTCCAAGCCATCAAAGATCACTCCCTTGGAGCAGTCTTTACGCTGTGAATAAAGGGAAGAGTAAGCCAGCCATTGCACACAGGGGGCTGGCAGCTGCACAGTAAACCCAGATGGCACCAGCTATCCTTGTTCCAAGTGCAGTAGCTAAAGGGCGGATCATGTTTACCCTTGTGTCCTTTATCTTGGGTTTGCTGGCTGGTTCCTTCTTTTGTGCTGAAGGGTTCTTGCCTTTGGCATACTTCTGGTTGATTTTTTCCCCAGAGGCTTGTTTATTCTTGGTCTGAGCAGTGAGCTGAGGCTTTTTACCTGCACAGGGGACAGATGGTTGGGAGGGGCTTTGTAAAGCAAGTAAGCACCTTTCCCTGCAACGGGCACAACCTTGGGCCCTGGAAGGAACTGGACACTTTTCCCCGAGCAGCTTGGATCTGTCCTTAGGCTCTGCCAATGAAGGGCAGCTGCAGCTTCCCCCAAGGTTCCCTGCACACAATCCAGGATCCTCCAGCAGCATGTACAGACATCCTCCTCCTCCTCCTCCTCTCTGAGTCGTACCTCAGGTACTCCAGTGCCTGTTTCTTGGAGCAGGAATGTCCCCTTTTCCCCCACCCCACACACCTTCAGCCTCTCACTCAGGATGTCCACCAGCAGGTCCTCGGGCAGCACACAGCTCAAGCAGTTCAGCTCTTTCCCACTACTGCTGATGATGTTCAGCTGCTGTGGTGCAGGAGCAGTGGAAACTGTGAACTGTAGTGTGAACCATTGTAAGGAAAAGAAACCACGGTGGGCCTTTGGCATACTTCTGGTTGATTTTTTCCCCAGAGGCTTGTTTATTCTTGGTCTGAGCAGTGAGCTGAGGCTTTTTACCTGCACAGGGGACAGATGGTTGGGAGGGGCTTTGTAAAGCAAGTAAGCACCTTTCCCTGCAACGGGCACAACCTTGGGCCCTGGAAGGAACTGGACACTTTTCCCCCAGTCTGCTGGGCACTGGCAGCACTGTTTCCCAGAAGCAGCTCCCTCCCTGCTTCTCTTACCAGCAGGTAAAAGTATGCCATCCCATACTTGATTTTAAAGCCAGCACTATGTCCCTCCTAACAACTGTGCATGCAGGTGATGCTGCTCGCACAGCAGTTCCCCTGCAGATCAAGCCAAAGATTCGTCCTCCAGGAGCATTGTTTCCATACACTGCTTCCCTATCCAGCATTCTCATGTGGAGACCTGCAGCCCTGCCCCACTTGCATCACCCATCTCCACTGAAGCTGAATCCTCCATGTGGGAAAAGCCCAGCTGGGACCCAGACTCTTCTTCCTTCCACCAGCTCCCAACCCAGCCATGTTCAAAAGTGAGCGATGCAAAACTTCCCCCTGCACCGAGCCAGGTCTGGCCTCACCCTGCAGAGCTCAGGGTACCAACTGCGCAGGAAGTTTCATAACTGTCTCCATTCTCACATGGAGAACAGCCCAACAAGCTGTGTAACCTGACAGTGGCATAGGCAACTCTCTGGAGAAAAGAGCTCATCCGGAGCATGCCTCTCATTGGAAATTCCTCTGGGAGGTTGACCTTCCCTTCCTCTCATTTGTGAGGTTACACTCATAGTCCTCTTGTGCTTACTGAGCCACTTCAGAAGGCTTTTTCCTTGTTCAGGTGGGCAGCAGTTCTGCCTGCTGCCCATGAGGAGCAAGCTCAATTCAGCTTGGAGGAAATATAAAATATTTGGGAAAGAGACAGGCATGCTTTACCACCCCTGGATGAGCTCTTTGCTCCAGAGAGTTACCTATGCTCACTGTCAGGTTCCACAGCTCGTTGGGCTGTTCTCCCTGTGAGACTGGAGACTTTCATGAAACTTCCTGGGCAGTTGGTACCCCTAGAAAAATGAACATGTGCCAAGAATGGCAGCAAAGGGGGCTATAAAAGAACCTCTGACTGAACCCTTAAAATTGATTTCATTTTTTTGGCAAGCCAGTGATGCACTTCACCCATGTTCCCTAAGAGATCCAAGGACTGAAAAACTGCTGCTCTGAGTAAGCAGAAGTGGACAGTCATGGTGGGTTTCTCAAGCACTGGCTCTGGGTCCTTACCAGCATCACCTTCATCTTTGTCTTTCAGCTCCTTGGCAGCCTTGGTGCAGAGCTCCCGGGCACAGAGCCCTGCTGGGCTCCGGTCGTTGGCCATGGCCTCTTCCACCACAGTGCCAATGGACACATAAGCAGCGTCGTAATACTGACACAGGCCTGCTGCTATCTCTGTCTTTCCTGCGAGAGAGAGGAGGACTGCTTGGTGACACTGGCACAGGAGGCACTGCAGGGACAGGCCCTGGAAAAACCTCCAACAAGATTTCAAAGTTAAAAGGACAGTAGGAGAGGAAGTGTCCCTCCAGGGGAGGTCATGGGGGAGGCAGTTGCAGCGTGGGTACAAGCTCTGAATTCTAGAGCCAAGAGGATCGTCTCCACCTCCTGTTCAGCTGAGGACTTTGCCTTAAGCACCATGGCCCACCAGGATGTGCTCCTCCTGCTTGCCCCTCTCCCTGCAGCCCTGGGCTGCAGCTCACCTACCTGCCCGGGGTGGCCCATGGACAATGACAACAATCCCTCGGTGCTGCTGCGCTTCACACCTCCCTGAAGATGGGTCAATGCCCAGGTGGCGCATGACAGCCCGAGAGATAGGATTCCCAGTCATTTTCACCAAGGACTCAGGACAGAACGTGACAGTCCTGTATGCTGCAGTGCAAAACCAGGGGGAAAAGTCAGACTCCTGACCACATTTGATCCTCACCATCCTTCCCATCCCCTCAGATCCCAGGAAAAGAGACTTGGTGAAAGCAACATGAGCTTGTTCTTTTGTTGCTAGGAGGGTGCAAATATAAAAGAGCCAGTGATATTAGACCTGGTCCTACTGGCTGAAGAACTCATCCAATCCTAGTCTTTGTGGCTAAGGGACACAAGGGAATACCCTGATTATTTCCCCAGTCTATGGCAGGCAGATAGGAACTTGCTTTGGCTACACTCAGGATTGGAAGAGGATGCTACAGCCCTTCAGCCAAGAGTTCCTCCACCAAGCTGGGGAACAGGCAGCTGCTAAAAGCATGGGCTTTCCCTGGAGAGCAAGGTGACAGAGAGTTCAGGGTGGATGGGCTGGAGTCCCTGCTGTTACCACAGGCAAAACAGACACCGCCAAACCCTCACTGTTTTACTGACCTGCTGCTGCCTTGCCCATGGCCTTGGCCTTGGCCTTGGCCTCAGCCCTGGCCTTGGTTTCTGCCATTGTCTTGAGCTCTGTCTGTTGAACCATCAGCCTCTTCTGTGCTTCATAGTCCTCCAGCACCTCTGGGGGCAGCGTCTCACCCACGGCACGTGGAGGCATAAAAAAGCTCTTTTGGTACTCAGACCCCACTGCCATCCGCAGGATCTGTGTGGGTAGGGAAGAGAAACCATATGCAAGATTCCTTTTCTTGCCTTTCATTGCACAGACTCAACAAACCCATTTTCTGTCTCCTCCCTTCCTCCCAACAACACAAACTGTTTAGTTTAGGTCCTCCCACAGCATGTCAGCAGAGCTGGCTTTGCCCTGGGGATTGCCTCCCCCTCCCTGGCACAAGCCTGGGAATGCTGGAGTGCTGTGAAGCTTGGGCAGCATGGACATGGGCATCAGATCTGCCTTCTCACCTTCTCCTCCTCAAGGTACTGCTCATCAAAATCCAGGGAGTAAAACTCAATGGGGAAGTTGCATGGATTCTTCACCCGCACTGTGGCCTCCACACCATCGCTGTCCACCAGCATCCATCCCATCTTTAGTGCTGGGGGGCTGAACTCCAACCGTGGCTGCAGACCTTGTCCTGAGAGGTGCAGCTTCAAGTGGCTGCTGCTCCCATGAATGTTAAGCTCCAGCTCATTCTTGTAAGACCTCTGAAAAGGGGAAAGTGCACAAAACCATTCCATGAAGTCCCAGTGACAGGACCCCCAATACAACAATGCTTGCCCCAAGGTCAGGGTGTTATCAGTCCCTCCAAGGTGAAGGGAAACCAGATATTTACTTATGCTAAAGTTCTGCCACTTTCCTGGATCAAGGGTTCCTTTGGAGGGCGTCACTTCAAAGGGACAGGGCTCATCCTCCAGCGTCTGCCGCTTCTCACGTACGGCTGGTGTCATGTATTGGAGGTGATTTTTCTGGGCACAGAAACCAATCATGTGAGGTCTCCTCGTGCTCTGAGACACTGACACAGTGCTGAGAGCACCCACAGTCAAACCAAGTGTGGCCCCAAAGCCCAGAGCTGGAGGGAAGCTCTGTAGACAGGGCAGGCAGATAACAAACTACTGTCCTCAGAGGAGGAGGAATGGGGGAAAATGGCAGAAAAGCAAAGCATCAGCTAATGGAACAGGTCCAGGCAAACCAGCCTTGATCTGGACTCTCAGACGTTTCCTCAAACACGCTGTAGACCCAAGTGCCAGGCAGCCACAGGAGCAGAAAGCGCAGGAGTCACAAAGAAAACCCACCCAAGAAGTTACGTGTTCAATGTGGCCTGTGCTTTACCTTCAGAACAGGCTTGCTGGCAGTAATGAACCATTTGCAGGGTACTCGGAACTGGTTGTAGAGTCGGATGGTCTCAACCTGGCACTGCCCAACGAGGATGTCAGAGAACTGCAGTCTCTTCTTGGAGAGGCTGAGTGACAGTTCCAACACAGTGGCACGGAGACAGATGTTATATGTGGGGCCTTGTGTCACCTGGAGAAGGACAGAGAATTCAGCGGAGGGTGCAGGTGACATCTGCTGCTGTGCCCAGCCTGCTGCCTGCCCCAAGAGCTGTGGTACCTCTATGGGCAGCACCACTTCCACGTCACCCTGTGGCCTGTGGGCACTTTCGAAGCGCACGTCAAACGCCACGGTGTGGTTGGGGGGGAGGCCATTCTTCTGGTCCGGGTCCACACTGAAACCTTGAACGGATGAACACAAAGCAGCTGAGATAGACATGAAACACAAAATGTGACATAAGCACGTTAAGGCCTTACTGGTGTTCTGGCTGAGAGGCCTGGGAGAAGCCCCACGCTGTGCTGTGACCGGGACAACAACTTAAGAGTGCACCTGAACACCCCTCAGACACAGTGAGCCACTGTGTGATGGAACCACAGCCTTGCCTGAAGGCCTCTTTTGGAAGCCTTTTGATCCACCTGAGGCTCTCACAGGCTGCTTCCTCAACAGAGGCTGAATACAAGTGCTGTGATAGTGTGAACTGCAAACAAAGCACTTCCAAAACACAGCCAACCCCCCTGGCTGGCAAAACAAGCCCACAGAGTGCCCAAAGAAACTTGCTGCTCGTGGGAGCCAGGGGCGGAAGGTGCTGAGAGGTGACCAGGGTGATGAGCCCATCTGGCCCCTGCACTGAAGCATTAGGGCAGTCACAGGCAGGCCAGGTCCCTGGGCATGGCTGGCCAGGAGAGTTCTGCCTCTAAAGCTCCCAGCAGGGGCACTGAGAAGAAAAAGCTCAGAAACCTCCCAGGGTTCAGGGGCTTAAGCTAATCTGTCTGAGACAACTCCTTCAAGGCCACAGGAAGTGTTCCCAGCACTGCTTACCTGTGTCCTGCAGGACAGATACATTGGCCTGGAAGGACACTGGGATCTGCCCAGGGTTGGTGATCTTCAGAGTGCGTGTCTCAGTGTAACCCTTAAGGACAGGGCCCATGTCCAGGACATACTCCAGCAGCTCAACTCTGCAAGGAGTAAGGACAGGCCTTAAACCACAGTTCTTAAGTGTGGCTACATGTCCAAGTGAACAAAGCATACAAATACAGTGGCTATTTCTTTATTCACTGCTGTAAAAACTCAGCTCAAGCCCATGAAACCCATGGCCTGACCACCTGGCAATGACTTTGGGAAGTCAGGAGGAGTGCAGGTCCTAGGTTTTATCAGCTACTAAAGGTACCTGAAAATACAATTAGTTGAAACGGACACTGGCCACAGCTCCTCTGCCATGAAAAGCCAGTATAGGTGAGTCCACTGGGCCTCCACTGCTCTCAGTGGAACTGCCTAGCCTGGTGTACAGCCTGAGCCTGAAATTGCTTTGGGGTCTAGGAATAAGGTTTGCCTGCACAGGAAACCTCCATTGCTCTGCAACCAGATCACATGAGCTGTTCTGCAGAGCATCTTCTTCCTGAACTGAAGCCTCCCGTGCTTGTGCTGCATCATGATGGTGCCAAGGGACAGACCAGGTCACCTAGATAAGCCCTGCCACCCCACCAGGATTCAAGCCATCTGATTTTGGGTTTTAAAGGGTTTGCTGACATGTGCAGTTCCCTTCTCCTTTTCTTTAGTGTCACAGCTGCACAGCTGTTAGCTGGAACCAAGACATCAGCTGGGAGCTGTCTCTTTCAGAGCTAGTCAGCAGGGACAGAATTTGTGCTGTCTGGAAGGGCTTGAAGGGGTGCACTGGGTCCCCCAGCTCTAGGGACAGAACCCCACACCTGTGGGCAGCTGAGCAGGCCAAGGCTCAGCGTGGTGCTGGGGAAGGGAGGACACCCTGCTGTTCACATGTAGCATGTCACAGCCACCAGGACCAGACCCTTTCTGGAGTCCAGGCTATTCCCAGCTCTGCAGACACAAGGAGCTCTCAGGAGAAGGGGACATGGCTGGGTGCTCCCCACGGGGCACCTGGAGATGGGGATGGGAGTCCCTACTCACTTGACAAGACTCTGGCACAGCTCCTTGTCAGGGAATCTGCTCTTTGGGGGATGGGATGTGAGCTTTTCCTGCAGCTCCAGAGCAGCTTTCTCTATCAACATTCTCATCATCTTTATCTGCAGCTTGGTGTTTGACTGAGGAAAGGGAAGACAGTGGCTGGTTAGCAAAGGTCCTTCCCAAGGCCCAACCTGCACCTGAGAAAGGATCCCCCCCTGCTCTCATTGGGAGGGGCTGTGGGGTCCTCCTGTCTGGCTGCTCAGTGTCTGTGACACCTCCTGCTCTCTTAGCCAGCACCTCATCTCCAGGGAAGTCACTCCAGCATCTTTGCCTGCCCAGACACTGTTAGCAAAGCTGCAAATCTGCTCTTTGGGGGATGGGATGGAAGAATTTGCTGCAGCTCTAGAAAAGTCCTCTCTATCAGCATGTTCATAATCTTTATCTGCATCTGAGTGTTTAACTGAGGAAAGGGAAGACAGTGGCTGGTTAGCAAAGGTCCTTCCCAAGGCCCAACCTGCACCTGAGAAAGGATCCCCCCCTGCTCTCATTGGGAGGGGCTGTGGGGTCCTCCTGTCTGGCTGCTCAGTGTCTGTGACACCTCCTGCTCTCTTAGCCAGCACCTCATCTCCAGGGAAGTCACTCCAGCATCTTTGCCTGCCCAGACACTGTTAGCAAAGCTGCTCTGGCCAGGCAGACAGACAAGCCAGGAACCTTCCAGAGCTCCAGATACTTGCCTGCCCCCAGCCAGTACCAAGGCAGCTTGGACCAAAGCTGTCTTGAAAGGAAACTGGGACCAAGCTGGTGCCTCTTGGAGATGAGCACCACCAGCACAGCCCCAGGGCACAATCAGGCAGCTGCTGTTAAGGTCTGGAAATCTGGCAGGCCTTGGGTTGGGACCAGTGAACTCCCCAGCAATGATCTGCATCTCCTTCAAAGCATCAACCCCATCCCTGGAGCATGGCCTTCAGGATCTCTCCCTGGGGTAGCCAGGAAGCTGGTGCAGCCCCAGAAGAGACCATGACCAGAGTGGCAGCCCTAGGGGCAGTGCTGAGGTGACACAAGGTTGTAAGTGGGCAGGGAGGTCCCAGGTGCTATCAGGGCTCTGGGGAGCTGCTGTGGGCTGCAAGGGCCTCAGGTGACATGGAGAGGGTGGCATGTGCCAAACAGGGCTGCAGCTGTTCTTACTACAATGCCAGAATGAGAGATGTGGGGCTTCAGGTCCTGAGTCTTCACATTCTGAATATTCAAGGTCTGAATTGTCAGGGTCTGAGACTTCAAGGTCTTGCTCTTTGGGCTCTGTGTCTTCTTCTGAACAACTGATTTATATCCTGGAGTGTATAGTTGCCGGCGTTTTATGAGCCGTTTCAGTGTCTTCTCATATTTTTCATTTCCTGAAGGAAAAAACATCGTCAAGCACGCAGGGCTCCAGGCTCTGAGTCTTCAGATTCTGAGTCTCCAAGGTCTGACTCTTAGTGGTCTGAGTTTTCAGGGTCTGAGACTTCACGGTCTTGGTCTTCAGGCTCTGAGTCTTCTGTTGTTGCAGGGGTCTTAGGAGCTGTTTCAGTGTCTTCTCATATTTTTCATTTCCTGAAGGAAGAAAACATCCACAAAGAGAAGTGTGAGCAAAGTGCCAGTCCCATTTAAGCTGGCAAGTCCCTGCCTCCCAACACTGGTTTCTTCCAGAAAGAAATCCCTCAAGCCATCTATGGAAAGTGGATGCTGCTCTTCCTTTCTGAATCTCATCCCCTGCAGTGTCACACAGATCCAACCCTGCCAGAAGCCCTGCCAGCCTCTCTTACAGCTTTCCCAAGCCTTTCAGTCTAGCCATCATCCCTCAGGACCCTGCCAGATGTGCTGGCAGGCTCTGCAGGTTGGTTCCTGGGACAAAGCCCACATGGGATCCTCTGCTCAAGACTCATGAAGCAATCAGAGGGTTTGGCTTGGTCTGGGAGTCCTGCAACCCTCCACGCTCAGTGAAGGTGGGCATGAGCTGCTCTATGGGCATATGTAGGGAACAAAACCAGAGGGGCCCTTCCTGGGCAGACAGGCAGTGCCCACCTTTGATGTTCCAGGGCAGGTTGACACTGATCATGGGAAAGGATGCTTCTCCTTTCAGGCAGATATTTTCTGGGTCCAGGTCACCCACTTTAAGCTGGTAAGTCCTGCTGAAGGCTCCTGGTAATCCCGGCATGTAAGAGAATTTCAGCACTTGCTTCTTGCCAGGTGCAATGGAGCCCTGCAGGGACGGGAGAAGAGGGAGGGAATGCATCAGAGTGTTCGATGGGGATGGCTCAGGGCACAGACAGGCTGAGAACACAGGTTCTCATCTAGAAGAAACCACCAGACCACATTACCTTCATGATAAATATATTACAGTATTGGCCTTCACAGTTGTTAAATACTATGTGTTCTACAATGTTGACTTTTGTAAAAGAAGTTTTGATGAAGTTTAGAGTTCTTTTAATGAGAATGTTGTGTTGTGATATCAGTGTTGGTGAAGAGTTGTTGCAATATTAACATTTAACCAATGAAGGAATGGAAACCTCTTGAATGTGTCAAAAAGTCACAAAATGACCAGGACTAGGACAACTGCACATGCTCCATCTGCCGAGACAGAGCAACTGAGGGTTCCAGCGGGAACGCTCTGTCCCTGTCCTGGGTCACTCTCTCCGTTTCTCATTCTCTCTCTGCTCTCTTTTCTGTCCCACTCTGGTCAGGACCATGCTCTTTACCAATAAACAGTTTTCAGATATAACACTTGCTGCGTTTGTGCCTTATTTTCGTCCGAGAAATCTGTTAAAAAGAATTCTCCTCTACTCCCCTTAGAGGACAGGACAGTGACCAACACAGCTGTGCCTCCCGCCGGGGTCAGCCTCTGACAGCAGAGCCACCCACCAGCCAAGGCCATGGGGGAGTCGGTCAGGAGAGTTGTTTGACTTTCTCTGCCCCCAGCAGAAATTGCTTACAGGCCTGTCTCTCTCATGGCTGGGTTTGGGGATGCTGCTGCTCCTCTCTGAATCCTCGTCTCCACTCCCAGCCATCTCCCTCCCCACCAAGGAGCATCTCATGCCCTGCAATGTCACACAAATCCAACCCTGCCAGAAGCCCTGCCAGCCTCTCTTACAGCTTTCCCAAGCCTTTCAGTCTAGCCATCATCCCTCAGGACCCTGCCAGATGTGCTGGCAGGCTCTGCAGGTTGGTTCCTGGGACAAAGCCCACATGGGATCCTCTGCTCAAGACTCATGAAGCAATCAGAGGGTTTGTCTTGGTCTGGGAGTCCTGCAACCCTCCACGCTCAGTGGAGGTGGGCATGAGCTGCTCTATGGGCATATGTAGGGAACAAAACCAGAGGGGCCCTTCCTGGGCAGACAGGCAGTGCCCACCTTTGATGTTCCAGGGCAGGTTGACACTGATCATGGGAAAGGATGCTTCTCCTTTCAGGCAGATATTTTCTGGGTCCAGGTCACCCACTTTAAGCTGGTAAGTCCTGCTGAAGGCTCCTGGTAATCCCGGCATGTAAGAGAATTTCAGCACTTGCTTCTTGCCAGGTGCAATGGAGCCCTGCAGGGACAGGAGAAGAGGGAGGGAATGCATCAGAGCATTCGATGGGGATGGCTCAGGGCACAGACAGGCTGAGAACACAGGTTCTCATCTAGAAGAAACCACCAGACCACATTACCTTCATGATAAATATATTACAGTATTGGCTTTCACAGTTGTTAAATACTATGTGTTCTATAATGCTGACTTTTGTAAAAGAAGTTTTGATGAAGTTTAGAGTTCTTTTAATGAGAATGTTGTGTTGTGATATCAGTGTTGGTGAAGAGTTGTTGCAATATTAACATTTAACCAATGAAGGAATGGAAACCTGTTGAATGTGTCAAAAAGTAACAAATGACCAGGACTAGGACAACTGCACATGCTCCATCTGCCGAGACAGAGCAACTGAGGGTTCCAGCGGGAACGCTCTGTCCCTGTCCTGGGTCACTCTCTCCGTTTCTCATTCTCTCTCTGCTCTCTTTTCTGTCCCACTCTGGTCAGGACCATGCTCTTTACCAATAAACAGTTTTCAGATATAACACTTGCTGCGTTTGTGCCTTATTTTCGTCCGAGAAATCTGTTAAAAAGAATTCTCCTCTACTCCCCTTAGAGGACAGGACAGTGACCAACACAGCTGTGCCTCCCGCCGGGGTCAGCCTCTGACAGCAGAGCCACCCACCAGCCAAGGCCATGGGGGAGTCGGTCAGGAGAGTTGTTTGACTTTCTCTGCCCCCAGCAGAAATTGCTTACAGGCCTGTCTCTCTCATGGCTGGGTTTGGGGTTTTCACCTCTGACTTTTTTCTCCCTTCCCCACACTCCCCACCCCTTTTTTTTTTCCCTTTAACACTCTCCTGGGCCACCTGACACAGGGCTGGGGTCAGTCACTTGTGCTACTTACAGTGGTGGGCTTGACCAGAAACACACCAGGCAAATGCTTGTCTGCAGGGCTAGGGTTTAGCACCCAGCTGAATACAGTCTTGCCACTGTTTGCCAGGGTGACACTGCTGTGATGAATTTCATTAAACATCTGGAGGGAAGGCACAGGAGAGGGAAGTTACAGACCCAGGCCTGCTGCTGGGAATCTCCTTCCTCTTTCCTGGGATTGAAAGCAGACACATCCTGGGAGCAGGGACCAGGGAGGAGACAGGGGCCCTTGGGAACCTGGGGAACCCCCAGGCACAGGGCACCTGCACAGCAGCAGGGAGCTCTGGCAGCACACAGAGGGGTGGTAACAACCATGTGAGGGCCAGCAATAAATGAACCAGGGGACACAGGCCCCCTGCACTCTGAGGGGTCACCAACAGCCAGGAGAAACAGAGACAGCACTGAGGCATTGCAGAAGAAAAGGCACCTGCATGCAAGCATTGGCAAGCAACATAGATGCAACAAGGGAGTCACACAGGACAACACAAACAGGGCCAGCAGCTGGAAATATCTGTGGGCTTTCAACTGGAAAAGAGAGAAGGGGGGATTATTCTGGGACAGTCTCTCCAACTATAGTGACTGGAAGCCCAACTTCTTCCCTTGATTGTTGTGTGGATTAAGCACGAGCTTTAGACAAGAGCATCTCCTCGGAGGTCAGGCTTTAGGTGTGGATCAGCAGAGGGGTGTCTCAGGGACACACTCCTCAGAGCACCCCCACTGGGACCCTGCCTGCCCCAGGAGGCAGTGTTAGGTACCCTGAAAATGAGGCATTCCCAGCATTTTGGAGAGGCTTGGAGATGGCCATTTTAACCAGCTTGGATGCCAGATGTGTCCCTCAAAGGTTGTACTTCCAAGCCCCAGAGCCAACAAAGGGGCTGGGAAGGGAAGGGAGCCCTGGAGCAAGGTGGGCAGGAGCCCGCTGGCCGTGGTCCCACGGCAAGGAGCTGTGCCAGGGGACGTGTGTGGTACCTGAGAGCCACAGCTGATCTCCCGGGGCCTCAGGGAGTAGCTGGCACGTGAGGCCTCCCCGGTCAGCACCACCTCGTAGCTGGGGCCTCCCTCCACGTGGCACAGCGCCGTGACATTGGAGATGGTGTCCAGGTGGCCACAGAAGGTGAAGGAGACCTGCTGGCTCTCTCCTGGCTGCAGCACACCTGACAGTGGCACGATCCTGAAAGCCTGCATGGAAGACAGGAGAGACTGAGGTGTGGAGCATGGAAATGGATGCAGAAGAGCATCTTGGAGCAAAGGGCAGCTGTACCTGGAGGGGCCTATTCCCCAAACACAGCCAGAATCACCCTGATCTCATCCTGTATCCATGCCACTGACCAGTGCAGGGACCATGGGGAAAATCTTCTCCCAAACACATGGATCAATGCATTAATTAGTGCATTACATGAAAGTGAACTGGGATGTCTCCTGGCAGTAGAAATTCTCTCTGATGCACAAATTGCCTTGAAAAAGCATTTCTTACTGCTTTTAGAAAAGGAGGAGACTCAGAGTGACAGCTCTTGGCGCTGAGTGAAGGACGCCAGCCCAGCTCATCTGACTCCTGAGGCTCTTCTCCTCTCTTTCTGATTTAAATGCTGCTTTCTCAAGGTGCTACAGCCAAAGCTCCTCCATAAATTTCCTATGCACCACCTGAGGAGTTCCAGGGGGAGCAATGCCCTCCACAGGTGCTGCACAGCATCCTTGGGCAGCCCTACAGCGTGTCCTGCACGGCCTCTCCAACAACCAGCTGCTCCAGCAGCACTTTGTGCTGGGCCTGCAGGGATGGGAGGCCCCTGTGTGGCCAATGCTGAGGGCCACCACTGGGACTGGGAGCTCCAGCCCTGCTTGCCACACTGACAGTGGGCAAGTGAGACACATTCCCTCTTACCTTCTCTGCTTAGCACAAAACAGTAAATGCTCAAAGTGACTCCAGCATGGGCTTCTCAGTTCATGGTTCATTGCTGTACAGCAGGGGTCTGACTGCAGGCACCACAGTCCAGTCCAGGATTCCCCCAGGCTCCCGTTCCTGTGCTCAGCAGCAATACAAGGGGGTGGCTGCTGGAGAGCTGGCATGCTTTCCAGGAGACACCTTTACTGCATGGCTTGCCCTGACCCAGTTGCCTGCTCCCTTCTCCCTGTGCCTTGAAGCCAGGATGGATCTTCTCAATTCAGGTGAGATTTTGATTCCTTCAGCAGCTCTGCTGATGCAGCCCAGGCCAGCCCACTGCTGATCTACAGAATAAACTTCTTGACTCAAGGAGCTCCCAACAGAACGGCACCACCACATCCCTCCTCTTCAGACCCCACTGGAGGAGTCCAGGGCTGCTCACCTGGCCATCTGGGAGGGGCTGCTGGTCCTCATCACAGACCAGGAATGGCTGCTCCAAGGCCAGCATAAGGTCCAGTGGCAGCAGGCAGGTGTTTTTTAAAGACAGAGGCTGGTACTGCAGCCTCAGGACATCACTGGGTTTCTGTGGAAACAGGAGACAAGGAAAAACAGCCTCAATCAGCCCTAGAAGTGCATACATTTCTATTTACCCTTTCTATTTGTTTCTACCCTTCCAGGAGGTTTTTCTTTATAGCAGATAGCTTTCATGTTTAGAAACCACAGCATCCTCTGGAGGACAGGGAAACACTCCCATGTACAGATGAGGGAATAGGCCCCTGAGAGGAGGGAATAGGCCCATGACAGGAGGTGGCTGCTTGAATAAGATCTAAAGCTGAAAGTGAATCCAGGCCATTTGTCTCCAGTTTTTTCTCTCTCTTGGGCAGAACAGCACTAGAGGATCTTCACTCACATACAGTCATTTCTCACAACCTTACTGGCTCTAGCAGCCTCAAAAGGAGTTCATCTGCAACACGTGTCCTGCAGCCCCTGCTACAGGGACAAGGTGTCTGTGGTCTCAAAGCTATGATCAGCCTGGGCTCTTCCTTCCTGTCTATGCATTGTGCTGGGCTTCCTGCATGGCTTAGAGAAACCTGAGACTTTGGGGAACTACTTCTGCATGTACTGATACCAAACAGGTGCTGTGCCATAGTATGCAATAAATCAGTTTGTGTGTGTGGCATTGAGCAGAACCCAGGCAGAATCAGGGAGGGCTGAAAAGCTCCTAAATGACATCTGAACTGCCTGTTCCAGGGATTCTGTAATTCAGTGGGAGCCTGGCAACCAGAGGAGAGGCCTGAAACTACAGAAACCACATGATGAACCATCTTCTCTTTTTCAGACAACTTGCAGGAGGCAGAAAGATGGTGCTGGAGTTGGGATGCAGAGACTAAAGGGCACCTGCTCTGCCTCAGTGTTATCATCACTGCAGCTGCAGGATGTCTGGGGGTCCTTTCAGGAAGAGGAGGCTTAGGGAAATGCACAGAGCTGTACCATATAGCTATACCACAAAGCATCCATGCCAACACAGACAGAAGGCAAAGACACACAGGAGATGTTGGGTTTTTCCTTGTCAGCCTGAGGAATTCACAGGAATCTCCATTTTCCCAGCTTCCCTACAGCATCAGTGTACAGACATCACCGTGCCTTGGAGGATCCTCAAAAGCCTCCCTTTACAGTGAGCAGAGAAACTGGCATTTCTCTGGAAGTGGCCACCATCTCCTTGGCAGTGCAGCTGTAACTGCAATTTTACTTTGGGGAAGTCAAATACCAGTCTCATCTCTGAAAGCATCTTCACTCATTTGACAAAGTGCCTCAGGAAGGGCAAAGAGGGGCTTTAACACGAGCACACACCCCCCTCAGCCATGCTGTTAAATGCCAGGATGCAATCCAGACTTACCTTCTCCACCCGGAAAGAGAATTGTCTGGCTGACACTTCTATAGAGGGGTGAATAAACTCGCAGGTAACGATTGTTTCTATAATCTTCTTTGGCATGGGGTCTAACCCAATCATCGCTTCACAGAACACAGAATCCTGCACCTCCTGCAAGCAAGAGTCACTTGTCACCAGTGGCTGGTGGCAGGGCACCCTGCAAATGCCCTGCACTGGCTCAGCACCCACCACAGGCCCCATTCCTGCCACAGTTACAGTCACTGCCCCCTTTCCTTCCTGAGATGCAGCTTATTTATTCTGTGCCCAATTGTCTGTAACACTGCACCCCAATAACCCCAAAAGGCACTTGTGAGAAACCCCCTCCCTTGACATGGCTTTTGTTTTACTCCATGCTTACCACAGATAAACCATTAGCACTTATTTAATTCACTTTCTTTTTGGGGCTCCTACTCTAAGTGTAACTTCTTTCTCTGCCCTTCTTTGCAGACTCAGTATGCAACACTGCTTGCCCCAAAAGAGCAATATTTCCTTCCATCCCTACTTTGGGATCAGCACTGGGTTTTGGTAGCTGTGGAATCACAATAAAGCCTTAGCTGGTCTGATGTTGGCCAGCAAGGAAAGCCACTGGTGTTGCCACAGAAATGTGTAGTCTTAAATCAGTTTTGTGAAGGCCCCTGCTCATTTGCCCAGGCAAATGTCAAGGGACTGTGGAACAACCCCAGGGCAGGGGATCTGATGGTTCCCCAGGCTCAGCCCCTGGTGGGGACCTCACCTGTGCGATGCGGGAGAAGCCTCGCAGCACCATGTCCCCAGACTGGCCTGGCTGCAGCTCCATCGACCATGGCTCCACCCCAAACGCAGGGTTGGCACGTTTGGGGCTCTGGGAATCATCCTTGGGGCTACTGAGGGCTGAGACACTCTGGGCCTCCTCCTCGGGTGGGCTGCAGCAGTCTGCTTTCCAGAAGAGCCGATGGAAACGGCAGCCCCGGTTTGTTACTTTGAACCGACGAATACAGGGAAGGAGGCTAGAATAGAAGGCAGGATGGAAAATAGTATGGAGCAGCTATTTCCCTGGTCATCAGATTGCTCCCAGTGGGCAATCTGAGGTGTTAATAGCTTGGAGACTGTCTTCCTTTCCAGCTCTTAATGTGGACCAGAAATCGTGTCTGATAAGCTGCCCTTCTGGTGTCGTTATTGCAAAGGGAAATATATTTATAATGGTAATGTAACATTCTCCAGGTGAGGCCAACAGGACGTGGTGTTTTCCTCCAAAATGTTTGTTCTGGGGTGATCCATACTGTCGCTGTATTTTGTATTAATCTGTGCCCAAAACTGTAACTAAATCTTTGAGATGCTGTCCTTGGGGACCTTTGTGTGATTGCAGGCTCAGATTTCTAAAAGCCGGCTCAGAGGCAGTTTCTGGATGATCCCAGCCAGCTGGTAAAAATCATCTGCCTGCTCCAGGAGAGGGAACCAGGGGAGCAGAGCCTCTCTTGTTTGTAGCAGCCTTGGCTCTGCACAGGTAGCCATTTGTAGAAACTTCATTTTGTAATTACAAACTGTTGGGAAGTGAAGTTTGCAAACTCTGCTGGCACCTCTGCCTCTGGAACTGCTCTGTGGGCTCCTGCCTTCCTGGTGGGGGTTGTCACCCTCCTGTCTCTTTGTTCCCAGGGCCCCTGCTTGCCTGGGAGGTGCCATTGGGAAAGGGAAAGGGAAAGGGAAAGGGAAAGGGAAAGGGAAAGGGAAAGGGAAAGGTTCTTGCCTTGGTCCCTCAGCCACATGGAGGGACCGCCTCCATTTCAGAACCTTTTGTTCTGGGGCAGCCTGCGAGGTCATTACTTGATCAAGTGAGGACATCAATGAATTACAACTAAAGACAATTCAGTGGCAATTTAGCAACTGGCTTCCCTTTCAGTGGCTTTTGAGGGTGGCTAACAACTCTCAACTGCCCATCACATGTTTCCAAAGGAATCTCTGCCCTCAGGGAAGGAGTTAGGACTGTGAACACTGAAGAAGATCTTGCCTGAAGGACTACAGCAAAAGTGCTCCTTGTTGAGACAGGAGGAGAGGTGGGAGTGGAGAGATCTCCTACCTGAATTGGTATCCCAAGTTGATCTCTGGGGTGAATGGTTTGTCTATGATAATTGTGGTGCCAATGCTCAAGGCCTGGAGGAACAATGTTCTCCAAAGGCTGTTCCCAATGAACAGTTTGATAGAGTAACAAAAAAACCCAGTGTCATCCAGGGTTGCTGTGATAGTCACAGGAACCTCACCCCTAGCGGGGATCACTCCTTCTCTGGGGTCAATAACAAAGCAGTGGGGTTTTTCAGTCTGTAAAACAAACATAATATGCATTTAGGATGGAAACCATACACCCTTGTGTCTTGTGGGATATAAAACAAGGAAAGACTAAAGAGGGGAGGATAAAAAACCTAAAGGCTTAATTTCCCTAAAGTTAAGCTACAGTACTGGGGAATTGCAGAGCTCATACAATCTGTATTTTCCCCTCCTTTAAGGGACTTACACAATTAAGCCAGTTTTGCCCAACCCAAGAGATGGCTTATGTTATGAGTAGAAAATTGTAATTTTTTTTAGTTTCAGAGTTAAAAAAACCAAGCCAGACCGAGTCAGCCTCCTTTAGGTTCGCTGCCGAAGGAAAGCTTTTCAAGTACCTGTTAATGGCAGGTGATTAACTGATTGTTTCCCTGATGCTAGCCGCATGCCAAGAAGATACCAAGGGAAACCCTCCAGGGTAAAGAGATAAGCAGTGACACCAGACACAACATGCAAATAAGAAACGCAGTGCACCCTGGATTTTCAAGTTTCACAGTTTTTATAAGAAAAACCCCTAAAATCACGAGCTAACAAAGTGACTTAAAGTAACGTGCTGGACTCTCCCACATGGCCTGATGCTTTATCCACAGACACAAACAAGTCCATAGTATCAGGTTTTAAGCAGCTGCACAAGTTCAACACACCCAGCATGAAGAAGAACAAACCTCAAGGCCCTCACAGATCTCCCCCTCCAGCAGACATCCCACCAGCCCCAGGCCCAGCCCTTCCAGGCTGGGGAGCAGCCCCAGCTCCTTCTGCCCTATGCAGCCTCCATGTATTAAACAGCCTTTCTCTGCAGCTGGTCCCCAAAGAAGCTCTTCAAGGGCACAGAGATCACAGGCTGTGGGGCTGCACAACCCCCACACGTCCTTTGTGTGGACAGCCCAGCTGGCTTGACCAACAAGAGGTGTGAAAATTGCCTCCCCGGGAGCAGTCTGAGGACAGACCTCACACCCTGCTCTCTCCTATCAACAGCAGTTTGGCACAAAGCAAATGCAGATTGAACAAGGAAACCATAGTGAAATGCATGCTCTGGGGAGCAAAGGACCACAGGTTTCTCTTGATCTCAGAGCTCCAAAATGTGACACACACAGCTAAAGACAAAAGATCAAATTAAGAGAGAACTTGTCAACACAATCCAGATTAATTTCTACTCCAACATCTCTGCACCTGACTTCACTGAGGGGTGCCCCAGCTAAAACCACTCCAGAGCCAGGTTCCTCTTGCCTCACTCAGATGGAATATTGGAGTATCTTGCCTCCTCTCACACAGGGCAATATGGAAATCTTGCATATAAGAACCAAGTCATGGCTGCTACTGACCAGTCCCTTTCCCTGGAAAACAGCCCCACAGATACTCACAATCTCTATCCTGAAGTCTGCAGGGATGAGACCTTTGTTGAAGAGGGTAAAGCTTTGTGAAGTAGGCTGTAGAGCTTGGATTGTACCAAACGTTATCTGACACGGAGATGGGTAGATTTTTTCCAGCAGTCCAGAGCTCTGTAATTCTGCTCTCTGTTCCAGGAAGCAGGCGAGAAAGATTTATAAAAAAACCCCAAAAAAACTGCATCAGGGAAACCGAAAAAAGCCTAAACAGCTCAAGCCTGCTCAAGTTATTTCTTTAGGGACAACTACCACTCCAGCTGAAATGCTGGGCTTTTGGGGGAAAAGAAAAGTACATGTTCACCTCCAAATTTAAAAGGATTAAGGTAAAAGAACCTTTCAAACTACAAATTATTGGCCCAAAGGTAAAAGCTTTGCAAGAAATCTCTAGTTAAGACCAGGCTGACAGTTAAACAACTGGTTGTGCTGGTGGGGAGAAACCCTCCTCTTTAAGGTAAGTAGCCTGATAGTTGAAAGCAACTGTTTTGTCAAACTTCAGGCTCCCTGGCACAGCCTGCATTGCCTGTCCTTCCTGTTCACTGATTTACATGCAGTGCCACAATGGCTCAGGTTCAGGTGTTTGGTGCCATCCAGGGAATTTGGCATTGTCATAAGACTGAATAGAAACCAGCAAGGTCCTATCCAAACCCTTTTCCCCCCTAATAATCTCCTCAATAATATTTGACAGGAGGAGGTGGATGTGATGCCAACCCTGGGGAATAAGCCCGTAGCAGCCAGGAATGTTGGTGGGATTCGAAACGTAGAGACTCCTCTCGTATGGCACCTTCAGGTAGCACTCCTTGTACTGCAGGACTCGGGGGTACACTCGCAGCTTAGGAATGATACACCTGGGCAAAGAGATGACCCCAGGGGAATCAGAGATACTGAGAGAATGGAAAACGTTTACCCCCAAAGATTGTGAAATGGAGCACAACACATTTGTCACTGTCAAATGGACACTGAACAGCCCTACAGTGCTAAATTGCCTTCTAAGTCTTCCCACTCCAACAGGTCTTGTCAAGGAGGGGCAAACCCTGAAAGGCAGCACCCAGAGGCTGCCAAGTGCCCCAGGCAGAGCACTTTGTCCCACAGCTGCCTCAGCCCCTCCTTTACCCAAGAAGGCTTGCAAGGACTCCTGCAACACTCCCAGTGATCCACGAGCTCTGGGGGAGCCTTCCCAACAAGGATCAGTGCTCACTAAGGCTCAAGGAACACACAACTCCAGTGTCCCCGTAAAAATGACTCCCTTCTCTCCCATGGTGCTGTTGGCCTGCCTGAGAACTCAGCTGTTTGTCCCAGCCTTGGAGGGCACGAGACACCAGCTGCCCTACAGAGTGGCACATCAGCCCCTCCAGGTCCTACAGCTCTCTCAGTCCCTCACTCCACAGCTCCATGCCCTGACTGTCCCCAGTTCCACTTGCTTGAAAAAATGGCAGCCCAGGCACTGCCTGGATGGCTCTGCCTGGGAGAGGGAACAGCACCAGGGAACTGCATCCCTCCTGGCATCAAATGGACACCCACAGCAGCACAGCAGGATGAAATTCTGCTGCAGCAAGAATGACTTTTGGTTTAAGTCTGAGAACATTCAAGCTCAAAATGGGCAGCAAAGGGAAGGAGAAAAACTCGAGCTGACCTGCCACATCAAGGGCTGCTTTCCCCTCCTAAGACCTTGCCCTCACCACTCTTGCTGTGAGCCACTTCCCCCCTGCCGTGTGCCCTCATGAACAGAACCAGATCCTGACTCTCAGCAGGCTGCTTGGTGTGTCCCAAACCAAGGCATGGTGGCTGCAACCAGCACAACTTCACCTTTTGCAGGAAGAAGGAGAGGAGCCCTTGGGAAATTTGTTCCACCTCAAGCACCAAACCCCAGGCCAATAAATTATATCATTCCTGGTCCCTTCAGAAAAGGGTCCAGGACCATGCTGGGCTGTGAGCAGGGGTGCTTTTCACCACAGGCTGCTGTCCAAGCTCTGCTGTTCTCATGTCCAGCTGCCACAACATGAGGTCATTAAACAGCTCTTCACCTTGGCAGCTGCAGCCAGCAAACCCTGTGCAAGGCAGTGGCTGGGGGAGGCCAGGGAAGGGCTGGTACCTGGCTCTGAGGATCAGTGATGCCACTCCCTTGGCAATACCCTCCAGGTCCACCAGCATTCTCCGGCAGAAAGTCGTCATGGTGTTGGAACACAGGGTCACCTGGTGGAAGAGAAGAACAGGAAATTCTTCCTTACAAACGCTCATTACTCATGTGTGATATCCTCCAGTTCTTGAGGGAGGATTTTGCCTTAATTCTTCTGCTGGTCCATGTGTAGAGCACAGGCTCAGAGTAAGAAAAGCCTTCTGGCAATCCTCCATTTCTTGAGGGAGGATTTTGCCTTAATTCTTCTGCTGGTCCATGTGTAGAGCACAGGCTCAGAGTAAGAAAAGCCTTCTGGCAATATCAGATTTGTTAAACACACCTTGCTATCAGGGCATAGGTCAGCTACATTAAACCACTAGACTAAAGCTCTACACACCACTGTATTCAAATTAAGGGCCCAATTTTTCATCTGACTACAATGACATAAATGCAGAGGAAATCTGACTTGAACAGAATGAGTTCAGCTTTACAGCAGGAAGCTGAAGGCAAAGTGTGGCCCAGCCCATGCTGGGCAGTTCATGGCTGCAGAGTATTTTTTTCCACTGGAGATCCCTGCAGTGAACACAAACTGTTCTGCTCCCCAGGAGAGGAGAAATGAGACCAAGAAGAAAAGCTAACTGCTTTATACAATGACATCTCTCTGACAGCCACCTTCTGTCCTCATCCTTGCTCTGCCCACTTGCAATCAAATAAATCACTCTCAAAAACACAAGAATGGCTTCAGGACTTGACCATATGGCATTGATCTCAGCATATGATTTTGGAAACAAAACAGTGCTCCTTGAGGAACATCCCAGGTAACCCAGCTAGCAGAGGCCTCACAGCAGTGCAGATCTCTCACTCACACCATGCTCAAGGCTGGCCCCAGAGCTAAAGCCCTCCCACACTCCAGTGAAACTTCAGCCCTGGTGCTGAAGCGTCTATGGCTGGACTCTTCCCATACCTCGATATCCTGGTGTCCCTGGGGGAGGATGGTCCCTTGGCTGGGATTCATTGTAAACTCCCTTGGCTGCAGACAAAAATCAATTCCATTCCTCCAGGATGGGTCACTGTCACTGCGTATCTGATCAAAGCTGCTAACAGCCGGCTGCGCGCCATCGTCCAACACGCGGAGCTTGAACGTCAGGGGCACCACGGAGTTGTTAGTGAGGCGACAGCTCTGGGTGAAGGGAAAGCCTAGGAAAGAACATAAATATCCATTGAGGCACCCATTATGGCATGACTCCTGGTGTGAATGTCCTGGCAGGATGAAAGTGGGATTGGAGTTTAGCTCTTTGTTATCTGAACTACAGCTCACCGAGAAGCTGCATGAGGAATTAATTGTCACTTAGTTCCCTTTGACACTGATTCCAGACTGCAGCCTTGAAAATGCCCACTCCTAGCCCTGCTGAACGCTGCAAGCTTCTCTCTTTGTGATGGGGAGGAGCTCCCTCACCTGCCCCAAACCAGCACCAGTTATCTCTCAGTGATAAGTGTGCACCCAGACCGAGCATTTACTCTGAAAATTCCAGCTGTAAAATTCCCTGTAAAGCCTGCCAACACTTCCACCATTTTCAAAATATATAAACAGTGAGCTGTCATTGAGAAGAAGCTACAGCAAAAGAAAGCGAGGATGGAATCAGGAACTAGAATGTGATGCAAAGCACCCTAATGCAGTTTCTCTCTGCAGGATCCTTAAGGCATCTCTTGTTTGGGCCAAACAGACTGAGCATGTGACAGCTCAGAGCCCACTCAACTGGGGGCAAACTCAGCCTTGCTTTGAGATTAGCAATTAGGAACCATGTCCCACCTCACCCAAAAAAGGGGGACATCACACCCATGCTGCTCACTGTGATTGCTGCCTGCAAGGGTTTAGCCCACTTGAGCTCGGAGATTTGCTTTCCATGCTGGAAAGCCAGAGATACAGCCACACATGGTGGGCATGTCCTGCAGAGCCCGGAGAGCAGCCACAAGCTGCTCTGCAGTGCACATCTGGCTGGGCTGGCCAGCTCTGTGGGGAGGACTCTTCTCCCTGGGCCTGCTCACCCAGAGTCACTGGAACACAGATGGGGAGAAAAAACAACTGCAGGTTCAGCCCAGAGCTTCTCTGTGCCCCTCAAAGTGATCACTGCCAGCTCCAGCAGTGACTCCAGCAGGAAGGCAAGAGAGGCACAACAAGGACAAACACAGATGTCAGAACCTCAAATGAGACTGAGGTCACCAGAGGCAGACAACAGTCAACAGTTCCAAAGAAGCAAAGGTACAACAGCTGCCTTCAGCTGAAAAGACCTTAGGAATGAAATTGGATTAAGCAGGATGAATTTCCTGTTTCAGAACCATATTTCTACCTGTTGCCTTTCTTGTTTCATTTATTCAAAAGGCAACTTGACACGTGCCTCCGTGGTGGTGCAGGGTGGGGAAGAAGCAGCTCAGGAAAGGCAATTCATTTCCTTAAAAAGTTCATGAACTTCACTGTTATGGGTTTAGGCTTCGTAGTGAGTGTTCCCCTTGGTCTGGGGAGGGGGATTGGGGTTCTGGGGGGTTTTGGCCCTGGGGCTGGGCTTTTCCCTTCGGGGTTTTTTGGGAGTTGTGGTGTGATGCTGTGGGTGGCTGTGAAGTCAGAGCTGAGGCTGGGCAGGGAGCAGAGCTTCCCTTCCTCCCGCTCGGGGATGGGAGCTGGGCCGTGTGCTGCTGCGGGAGGTTGTGCTTGGCCTGGGACTGCCCTGGCTGCAGCTCAGCCTGGCACCGACCTGCCTGCCTTCCCCGCTGCTGCCTGCTGCTCTGAGGCACTGCCCACATCCCCCTGCCCTTTGGGAGTCTGCCAAAGGAGCATTTCCTTCCTTCCTTCCTCCCTTCCTTCCCTGCCAGTGCCAGCTGGGAGGGGATCACTGCCCTGCCAGAGCCCACAGCTCCTCCTGCTCTGATCATAACTACACCAAAGGGAAAAATGGTACTTGGCAGGTGGGAAACGTCTGTTCTTGCATTGGTGCCTGTGCTCTCCTGACATAGTCTAGGAAAGAACTGTTATTCCTTTTCCCATAGTTTTGCCTGTGAGCCCTGTAATTTCAAAGGTATAATCATTTGGAGGGAGGGGCTCATCTTTCCATTCCAGGAAGATTCCCACCTTCCTTGACAGACATCTGTCGTTTAAAGCAGGACAGAGACACCAGAAAATACTGACGTTTTCTATTGCTTGGTTCCGTTTGATCTCACAATGGCAGAATGCTGCCTGAGGCACCAGCAGCCCTGCACTTCACACCCTGAGCAGGCTGCTGTGGCAGACCATGAGTGAGGGATGCTTTTCTGCTGGAATGCACAGATCCCTCACGCTGTGTCCCAGCCCAGGGAGCACTCACCAAAGGAGATGTCCCCGAAGTCGAGCTCAGGGACGTCAAAGTGTAACCTTGGTCCAGTGACACAGCCCCTGGATGGCAAGGACAGAGGAGGAAATGCCTTGGTTAAAGGAATTGCAAAGGTCTGGCTGCCATGGCTCGGGGACACAAACCTGGTGTCAGGGCACTGTGGGTTTCAAATCAACACACCATCATGTGCTCAGCACAGTGCCCCTGTGCACAGGAGGCAGCTACAGCCAAGTGGCCAGCAGCCAGCAGCCACTGATGGGCTTTGGGCACAGGGCAGGCAGGAAAAGCCCCCAGGATGCTGCTGGTCCCATGAAGGACCCTGAACACACAGCCAGACATGGCTCTATGCCTCCGTTTCCCCATCTGCAATGTGTGCCAGCTGGGAGGGGATCACTGCCCTGCCAGAGCCCACAGCTCCTCCTGCTCTGATCATAACTACACCAAAGGGAAAAATGGTACTTGGCAGGTGGGAAACGTCTGTTCTTGCATTGGTGCCTGTGCTCTCCTGACATAGTCTAGGAAAGAACTGTTATTCCTTTTCCCATAGCTTTGCCTGTGAGCCCTGTAATTTCAACGGGATAATCATTTGGAGGGAGGGGCTCATCTTTCCATTCCAGGAAGATTCCCACCTTCCTTGACAGACATCTGTCGTTTAAAGCAGGACAGAGACACCAGAAAATACTGACGTTTTCTATTGCTTGGTTCCGTTTGATCTCACAATGGCAGAATGCTGCCTGAGGCACCAGCAGCCCTGCACTTCACACCCTGAGGAGGCTGCTGTGGCAGACCATGAGTGAGGGATGCTTTTCTGCTGGAATGCACAGATCCCTCACGCTGTGTCCCAGCCCAGGGAGCACTCACCAAAGGAGATGTCCCCGAAGTCGAGCTCAGGGACGTCAAAGTGTAACCTTGGTCCAGTGACACAGCCCCTGGATGGCAAGGACAGAGGAGGAAATGCCTTGGTTAAAGGAATTGCAAAGGTCTGGCTGCCATGGCTCGGGGACACAAACCTGGTGTCAGGGCACTGTGGGTTTCAAATCAACACACCATCATGTGCTCAGCACAGTGCCCCTGTGCACAGGAGGCAGCTACAGCCAAGTGGCCAGCAGCCAGCAGCCACTGATGGGCTTTGGGCACAGGGCAGGCAGGAAAAGCCCCCAGGATGCTGCTGGTCCCATGAAGGACCCTGAACACACAGCCAGACATGGCTCTATGCCTCCGTTTCCCCATCTGCAATGTGATGGACATCAAGGTGTCCCCACAAACTTCTGTAACCAGCCTTTCCAGCCACAGGTTCCCTGCTTTGCTACTTCTTAGCTGGAGCTGCTGTTCCCAAGGAGGAGCTCTCTCAGGAGAGTTTGACCCACACAATCATTACAGGCAGAGTTCTGAGACATGAACCCAGGGGAGCCCCAAACATCCCCTGAAAAGAGCAGCAGCAGTTCTACGCAGGGGACAGATGAATCCTAGAGGAAAGGAGCAGCTTGTCAGCAGTGCACCAGCTGACACAGCCAAGAGCAATAGCTTCAACAAGCAAACAAGGGTGTCCTGAATCTAGCAGACCACCTCAGCTATCCTTGAACTCAGCAGACACACTCCAAAAGTCACCAACATCCACTGAAAGCAGCACTTGAAGCTGCACAACACTCACCAGTTGATTTCATGGGTAATGCAAATCCACGCCCACTCTGCCTTTTGGTTAAAAATCAAGGACCAGTGACCTGTGCCTTCTGTTGGATTCACAGGACTGCCCCTGGCTCTGCTCTACACATCTCAACAAGAGACACCTGCCCTTGCTCAAGGAGAAAGCTGCTAATGCAGAAACATCCCATGAGCAGTTTGGGAGAGGGACAGAGGAGAGTCAATTATTTGATGGTGAAAGGTTCCCTCTTGGATAAGAGCCTAAATGAGAGATGCGGGACTCCAGGAAATCAAGGCCCAGTGACCTGTGCCTTCTGTTGGATTCACAGGACTGCCCCTGGCTCTGCTCTACACATCTCAACAAGAGACACCTGCCCTTGCTCAAGGAGAAAGCTGCTAATGCAGAAACATCCCATGAGCAGTTTGGGAGAGGGACAGAGGAGAGTCAATTATTTGATGGTGAAAGGTTCCCTCTTGGATAAGAGCCTAAATGAGAGATGCGGGACTCCAGGCGGCTCTTCCAAATGCAGTTTATTACATCCAAGATGTTACAGCAGTCGGGGTTGTGGGCGACACACCATGTGTCCACAGCTGTCAGCTGCTGCTGCAGACAGACCTGGAGACCCTTAGGCTACAAATGCATAATATAATTTACTTTGCTGAGCCTCTTAATACAGTAGAACCTTAACTTTTATCTATAGCCTATCATAACTACTATAATAACCATATTCATGTTATGGTTCTCCAATCACTAGAAGTTGTTTTTCAATTTTCTTGCAGTGGAAAATTCTGAGATATTTTTTCTACTTGCAACATCTGCTGACTTGTTTGCCTGTGCTATCTTTCTGCTTGTGAAAACATCTTGTTTGAGGTGGGTTTATCTTTTGCTTTAAGTCATAAAACCCCCCTTCTAACTAACATACTCTTTGCCTGCTTGGTTATCCAGTAAGACTGACTCAGCAATTCTTTTCTTCTATATCAAAACTTGCTTTCATTTCTATTCCTTCCTCAGCTTCTACATTCAAAAATCTTTCTGTCAAGCATACATATCTGTAAGACTTTCTTGTCAAACTTTCATCCTTCCCAACACTCTTGATTTCCAAAATTAAAAAGCAGCACTTTTCCTCCAACAACAAAGCCAGCATAATTGTTTCTCCACTATGAGCAGACCTACTCACCACGTTTCTCTTGCAAAGCAATAACTGCCCTGTTCTTTTTTATCCATCTCCCTTATCTCATTGCTATAATCCAGTGCAGATTGCTTTAATTTCTTTACTGCCTTGACCCAGTGCCTCTCAAGAGCAGCAGCCTGGCTCCAAAGCTGCAGAGCAGCCAGCATCAGCTCTCCTGCTCCCACTGCATTATCCTAGCAGCACATGGCTCAGGCTGGCAGGGACAAGGCCTCATGCTGCTGTGGTGCTGAGCACTGAGCTCTGCCTCCCCTGTTATCACCCTTCTCCCTTGTGCTGGGCCAGGATTGTCTCTTGCCATGGCACCAGCCCAGGGGATGATGCCCAAGTCCTTGGCACAGTTCCTGCTGCACAGTTCCCTGACTCCCACATCAGCCCTTGCCTGGCTGTGCACAGGAGGCACCAGAGCCCTCTGGGCACAGCAGCTGGGAGCACAGCTTGTGCCCCACAGCATGGCCATGAGAGGTGAGGTGAGGCTGCTGCTGCCCATCTGGCATGGATTATT